GGCACGGATTTGCCCGAATTGATACCACTGGTACCCATGAACATGTAGGGCAGTGAAAACGCCGCCATGCTACTTACGACCTCGAATCGAATTCGGCTGGAGTGCTGAGGTGACAGTGAGGCGAGGTAGAAACTACAATCAATTCTGGAAGAGACTGCCGGTTGTGAGGCAAGGTTATGTGAAATCCAATGGCATCCCAAGGCCTTCTCATCTCATCAGTCCTTAAACTGTTCGGTTCCTATTCAAGCATTGCTGATGGCCTCGAAAATTAGCATAAACCAATATTACTCGAACTGGTTATCCTCAATCCCTATGCCAACTATTTTCTTCATCAGATCGTGAACACACCATCTGCTGGCGACCAGAAATGCAAGCCGGTCAGGTCAACAACCTTCCTTTTCTATCCAAAATTTGCTGTAGTGCAGCGACGCATCATTGCGAAGAGTGGCATCGACTTGCACACGGTCGCGGGGCTATTCCCTTCTTCAATTTCGTAATTGAATCAGGTCACAAATTGGACCAACTAACAATTCCAACTGTCCTTAGTCTCTCTTACGCAGTCTCCGACACAAGTCATCTTCATTCACTTACACCTGCACTCCTGGACGGTTTAAGCCGAGGGCAGGCTACCGTAGGCTGGCCGTACATGAACTAGACTAATGGAAAATGCCAAATCACAGACTAGTTTCTTAAGAGGTAGTTTCGGAATAAAAAGGTTTCTTTGTGTCACAAAGCACGAAGCCAAATGCCCGCCTACTTTGACTGTCTTGCGTTGACTTTTACTCCAATTAGCTCTGTATGAAATGAAAGATTGAAAGTATGATAATGTCAGCATGGCGCAGTGGAAAAGTTAGGTGACTAGTGAGAACTGTAGGGGGACGAGGGCGCAAAAAGAAAAAGAAAGGAGCCAGATCTTGGGTCACTGCGATGAATAGGAAAGTAGGAGAGGATAAGAAGGCAAGGCGACAAACAAGGAGAGAATAAATAGTGTTTGGGAAAAAGAAGTGTGGAATGCCATTTCAGAGTCTCCGTGTTGAGCTTTGATGATTGAGCTACCCTGAATGAGGCGGCAAGAGGAATCAAAGGCTGTTTAAAGCGTTCATTACCGTTGTGTCTGAAAAATGCTTTGTCTTTTGGAATGATTTGAGAGCTTCGCCTCATCCAGACGACAATCGCAAACAAAGCGGAATTCAAACTCGCCATTATCGAATAGGACTCCACATTGACAGCTTTTTCTGGACGCCAATGAATTAGGGTACATGTCCACGACCCACATTTGAGGAAAGACGCATAACCAGGACAATAATGGAAAGAGCTTGTATCTAAGCCAAGATGGATGGGCCAGGCTCAGACGTTGTCAAGTAAGTGCAGTGCGAAGGAAGAGGCGTCAAACTCAAAATTGAAGAGAGAAACTATTCAGACCTAAACAAAAGTCAAATGGGAGAGCATTCTTGAGAAAATCAGAACTAGGAAATTGACGAGAATACGTTTTGTGTCCAAGCCATCGTGAACAGCTTTTCCATTAATCTTCTGGCATAAAGATGAGTCTTCTCTCTGAATATCCCTATGGACATTATACAAGTACACCAAATTGATGCACATTTTCAAAATCAAGTCTATGACAGCTGCCAACATGTCAGTAGCATGTCCAGCTGAAAGACAAGCTTATAATCGCTGAATGATGCAAAACCGTCTACCAAAGAAATGAGATGTGAAGCCTGCTCTGCATTAAATGACATGTTATGTAAGCCACCAGGCACATTTGTCTATGAAATCTCTCGTTCGCAATACGATTCCCGTCAGGATGCCAGATAAAAAAAGAATTAGGGAAGGAATCTATAATCTTTTTACGGTGACAGGACTTAGGAGGCACGAGGCCAAGTATTCAATCGACACCAGAAACCGCGGAACCGAGGTACCTCTTTGGTGGGGAAACTTACTATTTTTCTTCGCTTCCATCACTTTTTAAGACTTTCTTTCTACATCTAATAAGATTCCACTTACAGTGGCACAGGCGCCATGTAAACCTCAGCCAGCAATCAGTCAATCCTTTGCCAATCTAAAAAAGCAAGAAAATCTATGCAAATCTAGCAATCTGTCAGTCAACGGATATAAAGCAAAGTAATAAATAAAAGAATATTTAAGGTTCAATGAAGCTCCAAGAAGCATGGAAGCAATGAGCCTTTAAAGTGCGTGAGGAAGAGCTTCATTGGTCCCAAATTAGAATACTATTGCGACTATCACTACTACTACTTATAATAACCAAAAAGTTAATAATCACAAAAAGTAATAAATTCGTCGATTATTCAAAGATTTGTCTTATTATGTATGCCTCTCGAGCACACTATCAAAGCGCTGTACGTATATTTTGAGGGACTAGTAACGAGGTTTTATATGCGATAGTGTGTGGTGAAGAGATTTGTAGGCGGATCTCTTCTCGAGAAGATGGTGAATTCTTTATCCTGCTGGTGCTTGACTTTGCTGAGACGTTCGGGCAGACCGGATCCATTGGTTCCGAAAAATAGGCCAAATATTGAGGTGGATATAATCACCTGATTTCGTTTGAGAGGATGAAAGACCATCGAATTACACACCCCTGTTTCCAAAAAGGTACTCTCCTCCAAGCAAGAGTTAAATACGGTTTCGAACTTGCATAGGTTTCATCAGCTCCTCCAACTGGACTCGAATCCGGGTAGAGTAGCATACAGCTTCGGAACCTTAGTTACTATGCCACCTCTAGGTCTGCCTGCCAGTATGACCAGATTGCGGGAACAGGGTAAAATAACTACTATGCAATTAAAGACGACCGCGACCATACTCAAGGCCACACCATCCTGGTCTTCATACCTTCAATTAAATACGAATTTTATTCATCGGAAATCCCACCGTATAAGGTGAGGCTGAAGTGCACTTGTGACAATGTGGCATAGTCGTTAACTTCTCGAGACTGTACTCTGCACTACCCAAGTTTGGGTCCAGCAGGCTTTAGAGAAATCATCATAGCTGGGCTTCACTCTTGCGGCCACGTCATGCGGACACAAAGTAGACAAATAATTGACTCAGCCTAGCTTACTCAATATATTCAGCAAAGTGAGTTGGAAAAGGCTACAAAATAACTTGACTTATCTACATTTTAATGTACCAGTATCCACAGGTCCTCATGATTGTATGTGTTCGTGTGTGGGAGCCTAAAGGAAGACCAAATCATGATACCGTGGGATACCTAATTGCTCACAACTATCAGTCCCGGTTTCACACTCCCATGGATACTAGTAAAAAAATGTACACTAACACAGGGAGAGACGGGCATGAACATGTACCTACCCAAGTATTTAATAGCTCTTTTTCGATGTGCAATTGTAGAGGGTATGTATTTGAAGTAGAAATGAGCCGGTTAATTTCCCTGATTTTGTGTCGTCACGAGATAGTTATGAGAATGATATCCACGTCTTAAGATGCTTACCAAGTGGCATGACAAGCGCGAGCTCTGACTCCTTCCGCCGAAACCAAAGAATTGTTCTTGAGGATTGTACAAGTATACACTCTGGGATTCAGATGAGTTGGACTATCGAGTCATTTCAGTGCAGTCCTTCATATTGGATGGAAGCCGGACGGACAATGAAATATCATAAGGTTCATGAAGAGCGATATTCTATTCACAATTCTCTGTCTAGCTTTATAGATCATATCCATCATTCCTGACAGCAAGTTCCTTCGGATTGCTATTGAGTCGGTCTCGTGGCACAAGCTCTTCGCAAAAAAAATTCCCAGAATTACTTAGAGAAAGCAAGTATTTATGATTGACTTAGACAAACTAAATATCAAATGGAAGTTGTTTGACCTTGTTTTCGCAACTAGGTCATATTGACAGGCCGACCTAGAGGAACGCATCTTGTTCAGAGTTCATAGTATGCATGATAATTTCCAGAGTCGGACCGTGGACTTGGTACACTATGGAAATGTACCAAGATGCGTCCCTCTAGGTCTTCCTGCCAATATGATCAAGTTTCAAAAACAAAGTCAAACAACTTCTATATTTGACTTCTTATTTTAGAAGCACGCAACTTTTACTTTGGCTTCCATATGATTAAATTTTAAGAAAAACAGTAATTACTGAATAAGAACTTAGCATAAATCCCTTAAGGTGATTTTAAGAGCTGATATTTGAGTTTTTACCCCAATGAAATGAACAGATATAAGGACACAATTGAATCTCAATTAACCTTGTTTGTCATAAACCTATTTCAAGCAGTCCTCGTCCTCAGAAACATCAGAGGGATTTCACACCGGGTTGTGAGTAACGCGGCAACGTTTATCCTTCTAGCGCATTACCACTGAGCAAATGCAACAAATTAGGCTAACCAGGCACCTCAGAACTCACATCTGTGTATTGAATCGTCGAATAAGCAGACATATTTGCCATCTCAGTTGACGGCACTACATAATATTAATGTAAGTAGCTTTCAAGGTTATTAGTAATTGAATAAAAATTTTGCCTTAGGGACCGATAGCCGGTTCTTCTCCATTGAATTCCACTTCCCAAAGGTTTTATCAGCTTTTAAAAAGTCAGAGTGAAAGAGAGACTTCGCGGAACGTACTTAGTCCTACGTCTTCTGCCATAGTATTCATGACCATTTCCAGCATCAGACCGTTGAATTGGTACATTCCCACATATTTCGTCGGTATCGCCAGTGAGGGCCTAATCGTTAGTTCCAACTTATCGAAACGACAAGTCAAAGTAATCGCCTTGACCAATTTTCTGTTCAACTCTTATGGCATTACGCTTCGCTCTTATTTTTGTCCTATCCTCTAGTGCTGCAGCTCTTTCTCTCAACCCCACTTCATATGGCCCATTCACATATTCACACAATTTCATATTCTCGTTCTTCCAATGTCACCAAGTGGATTTAGTGAAGCATAATCAACTTCACCATATCATCATCATAACCCTATCTTCTTTACCCCCCCTAAAGTGACCTATTATATCTTAAGTTATTGTTATATAAATATTTATAGTCATGAAACGCTTATTATTAATATTAGTGTACTCAAGTCTGAGGATGGCTCTGCTCTGGCTGGATCCTGGCTTATACAATTTGAAATGTATTCACCCTATTTCGTTTAACGTGATGAAGGACTGGTAGTAGAATTTACCCACAACGATATGAGTAAAGCTGACGTTTCCATTAGATTTCAAAGAGCCTTGCTTTCCCAAAAGTTGTTCTCATGAAAGGTGGACTGCACTTTCGATCTCGCATAGATCTTATCAACATCCCCAGCGGAAGTCGAATCACGACAGTGGAGCATGTGAGCCTGATAGGTTAACCGCTCGGCCACATTGCCATGAGCGCCCTTGAGTCACAGGGCAGATGTAAACAACTTTTTTGCCCTGTGAAATTCTACGGAAACATCAGTTCTACTCATATCATTGTGGGAAAATTCTACAATTAGTACTTCATTACCTTAAACGAAATAGAGTGAATAAATATATCATATTACTGATTCAATGTTAGTCTCGAAACTCTATTTACATACTAAAACTAAGTAATGTAGTCGATTGTTATAGCAAATATACATTTGCCTCATCAAATAATGTGATATACGAAAAGGCCTGCCCTTTGAAATTCGCTTCTGCCCTTTGACCCAAGCGCCCTCGTGGCAATGCGACCGAGTGGTTAACATGTAAAGCCCACATGCTGCACTTCCAAGGTTCGACTCCTGCTGGGTGTTGATAAGAGATATGCAAGGTAGAACAACTTTTTAGAAAACAAGGCTCTGTGAAATTCAATGAGAACGTCGACTCTTCTCATATCATTGTGGGAAAATCCTACTTCCAATCCTTCATGACACACATCTCATATAAATGATTCGCTGGTAGTCTCGAAGCTCTCCTTATATATATTTATATATATACGAGGAGTTAGACCCTTGTATGATAGAATCACATATAAACTCTTGCAGCTAGAGACACAATGTCGTTAATCCCAATTGCTATTGCCACCATCAGAACGAGGAATAAAATTTCATTTTTTCATTATGGCTTGACAACCATATGCCATTAATAGCACCATTCGGATTGTCTTC